GCCATCCATTTGATAAAAGCTAAAGAAGCTAACAGCTAAAGGTGCCAACAATTTGATCAAAGCTGAAGAAGCTAACAGCTAAAGGTGCCCACTACTAGATACAAGCTAAAGAAGCTAACAGCTTAAACTAGTGAAATGCAGACCAAAGGTTACAGAAAATCAGCTAAAATGAGCCAAAGGCCAGCTAAACATGTTGAAGTGACAAATCTTCCTCGGCTGTCTTCAGGTTTTTCCTGCCTGAACGTGTCACTTCCTGTCATCGCTCAGGCTCCGCCTCCAGCCGATCCTCTTCCGGCCTCACGTCCTTCGTGTTCGTTCACTCATTTATTCCTTCAATCACCCACGAGTTCTGCTAACGCTCGGTACTGGTCCGTTCGCCCTGCCCAGTGTGTGATGTTCGGCCCATCGTGAGGCTGTCACGGTTTCCTCTCTCAAGGTCAGACGGAGGTCACGGAGCGAGAAAGAAGCGGAGGAATGAAAAGAAGCCGAGCGTGGACTCCCTGTGGAGTCTCGCTCGAGTTTCCGCTCCTCTGCCGTTTCCTTCCAGGAAGTTTCCTCCAGCCGCTCGCCGTCACACGGAGACGACGCCCGCTCTTTAACTGAAAACACCCGAGGAGGTTTAAACAGACTTAAGTCAGAAACATTAAAAGGTGAACGTTTGGAGCTCCGCAGGTCTTCTCCTCTGAAACGTTCAGCTTTTTTAGTTAAAGGCTGAAGGTGATGACATCACTCTGACTGGAACTCTTGACTCCCAGGAGATTTACCCGTTTGAACCAGTTCCTACATGAGACTTTAGCTGCTGGTGTCCTCGTTCAGCCGAAGTGTCTCTGGAGAGTCTTCTCACCAACGCTGCCGCTGACTTCTCCTGCTGAAGTCCTCCGGAGATTTCAGGAGGTCTGCGAGGCTTTCAGGAGGAGCTTCAGCTCAGTCAGAGGAGTCTTTCTACAAAATGTAAACCGGGTCTTCTTCTGGTTTTCAGGACCGTTTGATCAAAACCACACACAATGGATTTACATTTATTTGCAGCTTTTGTTGCTTCGGCTGATGGTGATTTTTTTACGGGGCAGAATCTCTGCCTCCTTAGACCTTCAACAAGGCCCAGGTCCACCCAGGCCCGGGTTCTGCTCTGAAGAAGTCCTGACCTTTCAAGTGGGTCTGTCGGTCCAGCCCACGTTCGGCTGCGCTGCATCTCCTTCAGCAGGCCTTCGGCGCACTGACTCAGCTCCATGAAAACTCCTTTCTGTAGCTCCTCACCCCCTCCTCCTCCTGGTGGTCCTCACCTCCTCCTCCTCCCCCTCCTCCTGGTGGTCCTCACCTCCCCCTCCTCCTCCTCCCCCTCCTCCTGGTGGACCTGGCCGGTCTCAGACGGTCTTGCTGTCACCAGACACCAGACGCAGCCTCACTCAATATTTAATGAACGCTTCGAGCCTTCGGCTGCTGCAGCTCCTTCAGCTTTTCTTGGCAGAGGCTTCTGGTGACATCTCTCCGTAGTGACCCTCGCAGGCGTTTCCAGGAACCACGCAGCTTTCCATCGTCCGTCAGTCCGTGCCGAACCACGGACGACGGCAGAGAAAACAGCTGGAGGTGAAGTCGGCTCGTTCAGACGAGATTCTTCAGAACCGGTTCCTTCAGGAACTAATCTGAGTCCAAGTCAGGAGCTGAATGAGTGACATGCATGCTGTTGGTCTGGCACAGAGATATGCTAGCTAAAAGCTAAATATAGCAAAAGGCTATCTTAAAGCTAAAAGTATCAAGGCCTATAAGAAAAAAGTGTCAAAAGGCTAGCTAAGTGGTTAAAGACTAGCTAAAAACAATCCAAAGGCTATATTGAAGTTAAATGAGTTAAAATATTAATTACAAGCTAAGAGTAGCAGAAGACTAGCTAAAAGTGTAAAAAATGTATGAAAAAGTTAGATAGTAGCTAAAATGAGCAAAAAGCTAGCTAAAATGTCAAAAGACTAAATCTAAAGACAAAAGTCTTGCTGAAAGCTGAAAGAAGCAGAAGGCTAAGTGAAACATCAAACTAGCAGAAGGAATGTAGCTAAAACCTTCAAGTAGCAAACAGCTAAACTGATACAAGTTCACTGACGCATGCGAGAACCAGAGAAATGTCACTTCCTGTGAAGCTGAAGCCTGGATGTTTACCGCTGAATGATTTCTGCTGAACGCAGCCGAAGAAGCTGAAAGCAGCTGAAAATGTTTAATCTTTAAACTATTAATGAGAGCTGAACTTGAAGAGCTGACATTTGCTGAAAGCAGGAAATAAAAAGAGAAAAGCAGCAGAAATAATTAGAAAAAGCTGAAATAAGCAGAGGCTGTAGATTAAAAAAATATGAAAGTAGCAAAAAATTTAAAAAAATAAAACAATTAAACAGCAGAAAGAAACTGAAAAAAGCATCAAGTTAAAATTCAAAAGAATCACAAAAGGTGGACATTTGTAAAAAATAAAAGTCAGAAAAAAAGCTAAAATTAGAAGAAAGTAGCTGAAAAAACAGACATTTTTTAATTTAGGGGACAGAAGCTGAAGGCAGCTGAAATGAGCAGAAAATAGATGAAGGCAGCTGAAATGAGCTGAAATAATCTGAAGGCAGCTGAAATGAGCAGAAAGAAGCTGAAGGCAGCTGAAATGAGCAGAAAGTAGTTAAAGGCAGCTGAAATGAGCAGAAAGTAGTTAAAGGCAGCTGAAATGAGCAGAAAGAATCTGAAGGCAACTGAAATGAGCAGAAAGAATCTGAAGGCAACTGAAATGAGCAGAAAGTAGCTAAAGGCTGTTGAAATGAGCAGAAAGTAGCTAAAGGCAACTGAAATGAGGAGAAAGTAGCCAAAGGCAGCTGAAATGAGCAAAAAAGAAGCTGAAGGCAGCTGAAATGAGCAGAAAGTAGCTAAAGGCAGCTGAAATGAGCAGAAAGAAGCTGCAGGCAGC